TGAAATATTAGTATAGAAAATGTACCAGCAAAAGCTATTTTGAACTCTTGGGTTTAGACACACGTAGCTGAGCAGGCAGGGTCCTGTTCTTCAGCACGTCAGGTAGTGTGCAGCATCAGCTCCCTCGGGGAACCTCTGCCCCAGCTGAACAATTAATTTTCAGAACAGCTGTGAGTGAGTAGAAGTGATACTGCCCTTGACTGATCATCAGGTGGTGCTCCTGCACAGCTCTGCTGCAGACTGTGAATAGGAGTTGCATCTTCCCAGGTAGGAACAGGTTTTTGGCTGGAACAGCTTTGCTGTCCAGCCAATCTGAGCTTGCAGACTGGCAGGGCCCTTGTTCTGCCTCCCATCCCGAGGTCTGTGCCCATCTCTGCCTGTGAGGAGCAGCTGGTGATGTGTGCTAAGCTCTCGCTTCCTGCCTCGCTGAGAGAAGCACACAACAATGGGGCCACTTTTGTTCTGTGTTTTTTCCTTCTTGTACTTTTCTATTTTTAGAAGGGACAGCGTGTGGCTGCTCCTCTGGCTGCCTGGTGGGTTTGCACTGAGCTCCGTGCCCTTGTCTGTAACCTTTTCCACTGCAATCCCTTGTTGCTTGTTTCTCACTGAGAAGCAACAGTAAGAGAAAATTTAAATGACTCTGGGTTTTATGTGTGTCGTATTTTACAGTATTTAAATAATATATTTTTTTAATTACTGGAAGACACAAGGTTTCATACGGAGCTTTTGCTGTTCAACTGAGTATTTAAACAACCTGTTACGTTCTTTTTTTGTTTTCTCTTCTGCACCATGCATGAAGTGGGGTGTTTGCCAGTACTTGTCTTGCAAAACCCTGACCTGTGAAGCTGCAGTTCTTTGTTTTCCTGTTCTTTGGCTTTGTCTCAGCGGGCTGAGAACAGCACAGCCCGGGGCAGCCAGGAGGTGTGGAGGCTTGTTCACCGCTCTCTTCCTGCAGCAGGGGGATGATGCTTCCTTAGCTAAGTGTCAGGGATGTAATAATACATCTTCCAAGCTAGTGCTGGGAACGCTGTAGATCACACGCTGGTTAGATAATCAGACAGTAATTAAATTATGCAAGAATATAATATATTAATGAAACACCTTCTTCCTTTTTTCCCCCCCCTCTCTGTCTTCCGTTCCTCTCCTGCCCTCTCCTGGCCGAGCAGAGCGTTAGAGCCTGCGAGCTCGCTGGGGCTCGGGCACAGCCTGGGCTGCTTCAGCACGATGGTGCCCTGGGCTGAGCCAGCTCCCCTGCAGCCTCTGAGCATCCAGCAGCCTGGCCCTGCCTCCTGGTACTCCGGTCTCTGTCCCTGCCTCCCAGGCACAGT